GCGACGCGCAGGGGCGAGTAACGTGTAGCAGGACGAGGGGGCAAGGGGCGACAAAGACCGGAGAGAAGACGGGAGAGTTAGCGCAGAGGGAGGGGGAGCAGCGGGGCGGGGGAACGACAGCGTGTGCAGAACGAGGAGCGGAGGAGGAAGGGACTTGGCTAGGCGCGCGAAGCGCGCACGGAGCCCACTTGTCCACAACTACTAAAATCCGTGTCTGTGTGTCTGTCTGTATGTCCTTGCGCTCCTGCGTTGCCATTGGCGCACGGGGGCGGCGCCGCGGTGACAAGTGGTGGCCACGGGGACGACGTGGCGTGACAAGTGGCGACACGTGGCGGTAAAATTAATTTTACTTTGAATTTCGAACTGTTACACCAATGCGGCACTACAGTAGCGTGCCGGTGATAAGTGGCGACACGTGGCGGCGCCCCTGGTGACAAGTGGCGGTGAGGCGAAAGCGCGCACGAATAGAAACGTTTTTACATAGCGGCACGTCGGCAGCACAGTACCGGCTTTCGAGTTCAACAACCTTCAGCAAATTTTCACCACGTGACGGTTCCCTGGTAGCGTGGTGACGGATTGCTTGACGGCATCCGGATAGTCCCTAGGTGCTATTGCGCTTTGCTTTTAGTAAAGCGTGGTAGTCTGCCGCTGTGCAGGAAGCCTAATCCGATAGCGCACCATTTCTTGGTGTTGTAGTATCGGGCTCGGAACAACGGTCTCCGCAGAGCAATCTGCGGACGTCGGACTGACGTTGTTTTCAACGTCGACAACGAAGATCAAACGCAGCCTCCGTCAAACTATATAGGCTGCAAGAAGACCCAGTGTAGGTGCCGTTAGGGCTTGGGAAACCTAACCACCGCACTGAGGGAAAAGGGAGCGCGCGTACTTAGCGACCCCGGCGGGAAGAGCCTTGCAAGAGGGATTCATTCCGGTCAAGCTTCGTTCCTCTTTCTCATCTGTTTGCTACGATTCTGGCTCACTGCCAGCCTTCGGACCCTCTCCCGCTGTGGAACGACCACCTGGGCATGTTTCTCACCGATATTCGCAATCGTGCACGCGGACAACTCATTTGAAGACAGCAGCTTCGCGATGATCACCACGCCACATCTTACGTGCTTCGAGAGGTACAGGAGGCCCTGCAGACCGTGCGTTCCGACTGGACGCTCGCAAACTTCGGACTCCCACTGCCCGATGACATCCTTCCCGCTTTGGAACAGCAAAACGAGATCGAGACCCCCGAAGCAAAAGCGCAGCAGTGGGAAGAGCGACTACAGACGTCGTTGCTGCTGTTTAACACAAATCAACGCCATGCCTTTGACGAAATAGTGGGCTCCATGCTTCCAGGCGTATCCGTCTCTGCATTGCTTCAAGGATCCTCAAGCGCCGTGGCGGGACCTTCTATGCCGACACGAAGTGGTCGTCTCTTCTTCCTCGATGCTCCTGGCGGAACAGGCAAAACATTCGTGCTCAGCGCCATTCAAGACTTCCTTCGTACGCGCCGTAAGCAAGTCATCGCTGTCGCTACGTCTGCTATTGGTGCTGTGTTGCTCAACGGTGGACGCACCGCTCATTCCGTGTTCAAGGTTCCCATTCCTATATCTGCCGAAAGCACGTGCAGCTTCTCCGCAAACTCCGACACTGGCCGTACACTGCAACAAGTCGATCTCATCATATGGGACGAGATCGTCATGTGCCATTGACATTGCATTGATACTGTCGATCGCTCCCCTCGCGACTTGATGCAAACCGACCGGCCCTTCGGAGGAAAGTTCCTCGTGCTCGCTGGAGACTTTAGACAAATCCTTCCCGTCGTTCCGGGCGGGTCCCGAGGTCAAATCGTGAGCGCGTGCGTCAAGGCTTCCCCGCTGTGTCGAGAGCGCCGATTCCTGCGCCTTACCGAGAACATGTGCCTTGCTGCTCTCCGAGCGGACCCTGCAGCAGATGTGGAGGCTCTCAACTTTCCAGAGTTCCTCCTCAGCGTTGGGGAAGGCAGACTTAACGGCGAACAGCGCCCGGAATGGATCTCACTACCACAGTCCATTGCGTTCGAGCATACCATCCGCAATTTATGCATCAAGGTCTTCCAAGGGATTCGAGACAATCACGCCGACCCTGCCTGGCTCACTAAGCGCGTTATACTCACCACAAAGAACAGGCTGCTCGAGGAAGTCAACGAGGTCATCGGCAACATGATTCCGGGACCGTGTCGAACGTATTTGAGCGCAGACAAGGTCGAGAACGAAGACACCAACGCACTAATCTATCCCACAGAAATGCTCAACACCTTGACCGCCGGATCTGCTCTACCAGACCACAAGCTCAAGCTCAAGAAAGGCTTCATCGTCATGCTTCTGCGCAATCTCGATCCCGCTACCGGTCACGTCAACGGCGCGCGATATGTCATCGAGAACATGACTAAAAACCTGCTCTTTCTACGCGTTACCACCGGGTCACACCAAGGCAACAGACTGTGTCTTCCTCAAATGCCCTGCGGACCAGGAGACGACAACTTTCCCATCCCTGGCTTCACCCGAACGCAGTTATCCATTCGCACGTGCTTCGCCCTTACAACGAACAAAGCGCAAGGCCAATCCTTCGGTGGCCGCATTGGTCTCGACTTACGAGATCACTGTTTCTCGCACGGTAAACTCTACGTCGCACTATCAAGGACTACTCACCCAGGGAACGTCACTGTCCTCACTCGAGAGTCCAATGAAACAACGCGAAACATAGTGTACCCCGAGGTCCTTCAGTAGTTCTAAAAAAAGTAAACGCCATTGTCTTTACATCTTTTCATTGCCACCCTTCCCAAATAGTGTTCCTCCACGCTTTCTTGGCTCGGCGCGCAAAGCGCGCACGGAGCCCACTTGTCCGCAACTACTAAAATCACCACAAGGTCTTATACTGTAGCCTTCTTGAATGACGAGGAAGAAGGCAACCCCAGCGTCTCCTCCGCCGCCGCACTCGCTGCTGGCGACAACGGCCACGCCATGCGCGTTCGACATACTGTAGGTAACGCGAGCGAGACCAGCCTTGACAACTCGCGCGCGACACCGTCCGCGCATACGCGCGCAACTCCGCCTTAGCCTTCGCGCGCGACTCTGCCCTCGTCTCCTCGCCCTGCTCAACCCGCCCAAGTCATCCCCGCCCAGGTCCCCCCGCCCCCGCGCCCCTGGGCAGCCCGGTCCGCCTGGACCCCCGCACTGGAGACCCCGTAGCTCCGCCTCCCACTGTCACAGCGTATGCCTTCGCCCCAGATTCTCAGTCCGCCGCGTTCCCGTCCTTCGAAGCGGCGCAATCCGCACTTCGACGAGGTGCGTAGCTTGCTGAAGTCATGCTTCCCCCCCATGTCTTCATCCCTGACGTCGCTCGCTGGACATATGTCTACTTCCTCGCTGCAGCCACCCCTGCCATTGCCCGACTCTTCGCTCACGCTAAGCTCATCTACGAGGACCTCACCATCCAAACTGCCCCCATCTCTGACGCAGCATGCGAAATCGATCCGTCCGCCGCCGCCGGCGTGGCGTGTCGCCTCACCCGCGAATCTCGCCGCCTCCTCAACCGTCGCACCCCTACTGCGGTGCCCATGCCAGTCCGCGTCGCTCTGGCTATGACCCTGCAGACTCACGCCCACACCATCACACAACGCCTCGCACGCGCACCCCCTAATGTTCCCGTCCCAACCCCGCTCAACAATGCTTTGCCAACCTCTGCTGCCGCAGCGCTCCCAAATGATGTCCATGACGTACGACAGGGCATACCTCGCCGCCCTGCTTCCGCATTCTCGATTCAAGCAGCTGAGTCTAAGGACCTTGCTGCCGCGATACGCCCTCAGCCCTTGACGACCCAGACACCTTTTCCAGTCGAAGCGCGCCCTCCCTCTCCTATCGCGCCTTCTGATCGTCCTACAGTCTCCCCGTCCCCTATGCACCGCCCCTCTGGAAAGAGCCCTCTCGCCTCCCCAGCCGCCTTCCCAAACCGCCCACCACCAGCTCCGACCCCGATGGCCGTTCCAGCCTCTCCGTCACCCCCAAATATTCTCCGCAAGCGTCCTTTATCTTTCTCAGCCAAGCTTCCCCCCTCTCACCGGCCTCGTGGCAGCCATGACCCAGCACGAGCGGGCCTCGCGGCCACGCATTACCTAACACAGTGAGACCCCCAAATCCTGCCCCCACTGTCCGGGCCAAACGCCCTACCGCTTCCCTTCCCACACCCATACCCGGCACTTCTCCGCACTCGATCTATGGATTTCCCATATTGCTGGTGCGCGGCCGCTCCGCTGCGCGGCCGCTCCGCTGCGCCGTCGTCGCTAGAATAGTGATTAATCATTAATTCTACAATGGTACACACCCTAAATCGTCATCAGCCAACCATCGAGCGATGGCGGCGATCATGGAGCCGTTGCATTGGACTGTTGGCTTTCGCGAAATCAAGGCAAGAGCCCGAGCTCAACATTTGCGGTATGTCGTGCACCGACACGAACGAACGACACCAAAACTATGTATACCGTACGGCGGCGTCCTCGCACCTGCCTCCCTCCTCTTCCGCTATCAAAAAGCATTTCACCCCTTGCCTACCAAACAAATTCGACTGTTTTCACAGTAATTGCTGTGAAAACATTTGGCTATTCCGGTCGCTCTTAAGAGTGACCGCAAAAGCCAAATACAACCTGCGACTTTTCGAAAATGTACTCCTTAAACACCAGATCATTTCCTTTTTCGCCATCCTGAACAATGATGCTGGTCCATCTCGCAGACAACGTCTTAGCCTTCGCGCCACGACGGTGAGATAAACTCGCAAGCGTTCAAGTCGATCCACGACAGGAAGGCCGCGATATAAGTAAACAGTACGACGAAAACTGTCCCGAAACTTTTGGTGCTGGGCCATCTCGCAGACAACGTTTTCATCGTCCTGTTTGCTTATTGCGCGGTCTGCCTGCCCTGGACGTCCTGGAACGCTTGCAACTTTATCTAACCGTCTTGGCGCAAGGCACACAACGTACGCGTCGCAGGATACTTCGACCTGGCCAACACCAGTGTCCCAGCTATTTACGTCGTACTTTAAATTTCGATTCAAACTGAGAACGATACCAAGGAAGTGTTCACTGCGACTGTCGCATTGCTACTTGCGCTGCTGCACTTCTCGCGGACAGCGTAGGGCTTGTGGCAGCTTCGTGTGTTTGTGGCGTGAGCTTCCAAGTGAAAGTTAAAAAGCTTCTGGATGCCGAAGAGAGCAAAGATAAGCGCAGGCGAGGAAAGGGCAAGAACGAAGGACATTGTGAAACGGAGGTCCTGTCTGAGGATGAGATGGCGGATGAGCTGTTAGTCAGCGACAAACTCATCGAGAATCGCCTTTTTCGTGGAAATTCCCGTTGTCACCTGCACATCGAGAACATGGATATCACCACATACTCTCATGGCAAGGCGACATTTTTCTCCAGGGCACAATGATACTGGTGCGTGTACTGTCCATAACAATCCGATACGTGTATCATACAGTGATGCGGCAATGCTTTGGGGGAGAGAGTGTGCCGAAAGCGCGTCAGGTGTCTTACAAACCAGAGAAGGTTTGCCTGCGGTGGTCTGTAGCGTTTGCTGCGCAAGGGCTGGGAGGGTGGGTGAAGGAGTTTCGAGTTGCCACAAAAGAGGACGAAGATTTGTCAGGTTTGAACAATATGCAGCAGTACGAGAATCAACGGGACTACGCTGTTAGCCGAGTGTTAGCCATGGCTGGATTAGTGCTGTGACTGGGAAGTTGCGTACTGACGGGTGAAGACTCAGTTGTGTCGAAGACAAAAGTATTGCGAGGGGTGGCCGAGTCAGGCTGGGGTTTTCCGTTTGACGCAAGACAGGTAAATATGATGGAGTCAGCTGAAAAGGGGTACAGGTCGTACGCTCTGAAGCTATCGGGGATCATGCAGGAGATGCAGGTTTCATTGGTGAAAGAAATGGAGGGGTTTCATATCGAGAGAGTGGAGTGGCTGGCGATCTTGGTGAACATGAGTGACGTTATGCATAACGTTGACATGTCAAAAACGGAGGCCCAGAACACCGAGCTGGAGGAAAGAGAGTTCGAGCCGTTGCCGCACAATGATTTTGCACTGGAGAATCTGCAGGAGCAGCTGGGGATCAGGGAGAACTTCCTTGGGGAAATTGTGGAGGGGAGAAGTCGTCAGTCTGAGTGCGTTCCCGCTGCAAGAACGGTGCTTTCATTTGGTGTCGAGTGAGACCCGAATGGTGAAGAAGATCGGGGAGCTGATTGAGCTCGCGAACAAAACTTGGAAGATGAGTGGAAGGAAAGGAAGATGCACAGGTGTAACGCCCTGCGCTCGCGACGATAGATAGAGAGCGAGATGTCTACGGCACGATGCCTTGGGGCGTAGCAGGGCTGGACTCGTAGCGCGAGCCTGCCGCAGAGGTGAGTGGACAGCCACCTCTGAGACTGGGATTCCGGGTGCGTAGCCTTTGTAAGAGCTAGCGTCTAAGCGCACCCGTACCCCGCTGGGTACTGTAAGTACTTCATGGGCCTACCGCCGAGCGAAAAGCCCCACTGCAGCACAGCAGTCATCCTGGTCTATCTGACCCGGAGGTGTGTAGGGCGCAGCGCAACTGTCGTCGCCTGACAGGGACGACACCGGGCGGAGAGTGCGGATTGCCGCACCCGTTCGGGTTTTGTAAATAAAGGCAGCATGCTGCGTTGGGATCCGGGGAACCCGGGGAGATGCACGCGTTGACTTTGCCCATTCTCTTGCTTTACCATAGATACATCGCTCCTTTACTCTGGGCGCTGCGAGCGCCCTGTCCGACGTAGAAGCGCTTACTACCGAGTCCTGTGATCTGTCACAGTAATTACTTGCCCTAGGGAGTAGAGTCACAAGACTCGGTGGCGAGAGTTTCTGGCGTCATGCCGCGCTCACGCAGCAGAACGGGGCAGACCGGAGCCTGCGGATCTGGTACTGTTCGGCAAACAATTGTCGAAACGGTCGAAGCTCCCAGGCTAACTGGTGTATCCACGGCGTACTTTGTGGAGTTCAGGCAAGACTGCGAAGTATACGAAAGGAAGATCTCTGAGAAGAATGCGGACCCAAATGTACAAGTTCCCCTCACCACGTACAAGGACTCAATCGATGTGGCTGTGCTGCAAGTATTCGCAATTGGTAACTGGGTACCCGTAGACACGGTCTCTGAGATGACCGAGGAGCATCTGAGAAGTTGCATACAGTCACATGCGGTCGTCGCTCCAAAGGATTACGACCTTGCTCTTCTTGAGAAAGAACTCAAAAGCGTGAAAATGGATCTACCTAGCAGTGATAAGCCGCTCAAGGCTTGCGTCTGGGAGTTCGTGCTCAAGTACACGCAGTTGCTCAACAGCCTGGGGTATGAGAAGTTCATCAAGGAGCATCCCAAGCTTGCTGTGGAGCACGGGCTCACACGGCTGTCATCCGATCATCTGAAGAAGAGGATGTTGATCACCGCGAAGTTGCTGAAGGAGGAGGACTTCCGGAAGAATTTCAATGCCATCGTCAGAAAGATGTCCTCAGAAGCGGGATTAATGGACAGCATGCACGCGTCCAAGAGATACAAGCCCTCAAGTTCCGGTCTCGATTCGATTGCTGTACCACTTGGCGATGTACCCCCTATAGGTTCTTTTGTAAGCCCCCTGCCACGTGGCCACGAACTACGCGGACGAAAGAAAAAGGACGGCGGTAACAGAATTAATAGGAGTGGGCCAATTGGCCCGCCATCTCGAGGGTCTCGACGACGTAAGGACGGAGCAGACCGATCCGGGCAAAAACGCAAGTGGCCTAAATGTCTGAACCCTGTTTGTCATGAACGTCACTTCATAGACGATTGCCCAAGGACCTCAGATGCGGAGGGAAGAAGACTTAAGGACCAGTACCACGCCAACAAGAAGGCCCGCAGTGACGAGAGCGTTGATCGGAAGCAGGGCAAATTCGTCGGATCAATCGAGACGTCTGGCGAAAGCCAGGACAACACGTCCATGTTTACTGCCTCATTTTGTAACGGAGCCGTCGAAGTTACAGTACTGGCTGACCAAGGATCCGATGGGAACCTCATCTCTCCATCGGTATTCAAGGTCATCACGGAGTCGGACCCGGATGTCCTGATCAAGCAGCTACCGTCCCCAGTGCATTTTTCAAGTGCGAACACGGCCGCCCAGAAGATCACTTGTTCGAAGGAGGTCACCGCCGATGTGCTATTGCGGATCCGTCATGGGAACAATTTGGTGCTCCGGGGCATGAAATGGCTCGTGTCTGATGGTGAGGTCCAACACGTGTTCGTCGCTCGCCTCGTTCTCGCCGCGCTCGGGCTCAACAACCGCGTCCTACTGTCTGCTGTTGCCGACCGGCACAGTGGGGTTGTGAATGTCCCCGACCTGCTCCCTAGAGATGGACACGCCGATGCGCCCCTGGCAGGAGGCCACAAGTCCATCAACGCAATACTTCAAGATCGCGGGCTGGATTTCGGAAGCACGTTTCACAGCGAGGGCGGAGCCGATGAAGATCACCTTGAGGACAGCAATGTTTACGTTGACCTTGGCGAAGACTGCCCTGAGAATCTGAAGGAGGCGCTCTCAGGGTTAGTCATGGATGCTCGCAACAACGGCCTTAGTGAGAACGGCACCGAACGGCTCAAAGGTATTCTGCATAAATACCCGGTTTTCGAATAAGGCTGGGAAAATCCCCTCCAGCTGATGTGCCACCAATGAGGATTCGCCTCAAGCACGGGTACCGGCCGATTAGAGTGAAGGCACGGAGATACAACGGTGAGCAACGTCAATTCTTGAGCAAATATATGGATCAACTCAAGGACATGGGGTTTGTCAAAGAGTTTCCAACCGCTGAATGGCAAGCTGCCCCGCTACTTGTTACAAAATTAGGGTCAAGGGCTGGCTACCGCATGACTGTTGACCTACGCCCAGTCAATGCGGCAACGATCAAGGAGTCCTGGCCGATGCCTCACCTGGATAGCGAGGTATTCGATTTCGCTGGAAGTAGCTGCTTTGCGTCCCTCGATTTTGTGTCGGGCTATTGGCAGCTGCCCCTGCATCCAGATTCATACACCGCGTGTGGTGTCGTTACCCCACGCGGGGTAGTCATCTCGAAACGCGTCCTACAAGGTTTGGCGAACGTCGTGGCGTATTTTCAGAGCACAGTTGAACCGCTTTTCTCTGAGCTGAGAGGTTTTTTCAAGGCATGGTTGGATGACTTCAGGCTGCACGCGAAGTCTGAGGAAATACTATTAGACAAGCTCGAGCTATTTTTCTGCATTTGTCAAAAGAGGCGTTTGTGGCTTTCTGCTCGTAAGTGCAAGCTTTTTCGCAAAGAGCTGTGCTGGTGCGGACGTGTAATCTCAGGAAAGGGCTACAAGATGGACCCATCGAGGCTTTCTGGTTTGCGAGACATAGGTATGCCACAATCTGCGGCCGAGCTTGCGGAGTTCATTTACTGCTGTCGCTGGATGTCCATCGCAATCCCTAACTTTGTGCAAATAATTCGACCCCTCAATGAGGTCCTCGAGCAAGCTTACGCCAGATCAGGCAAGCGTACCAAGAAGTCAATCAAGAAGGTTGCGCTCCGCACACTGTCTTGGGGGCGTACCCATGAGGAGGCTTTTCAACTTTTGCAAGACAGCCTACGAACCGCCGTGACACTATCCTATCCAGATCCCGAAAAAACCATGTGCGTCTTCACCGACGCGTCCGATCTATACTGGTCGGGCGTTGTAACACAGTGCACTGAAGCCCAGTTGTGTAAGCCATGCGACGAACAGCTTCATGAGCCCTTTGCATTTCTGGGATCCGAATTCAAAGGTTCCAGTCTGAACTGGTCCACGTTTGAGAAAGAAGCATACGCCATATTCCAGACTTTCGAAAAACTTGACTACATGCTGCTTGGTCACGCCAATGTGCACGTATTTACGGATCACCGTAATCTGCTTTTCGTTTTTGCACCCCTTGCCCTGGAGCCAGCATTGGGCAGACACATCGTGTCGAAAGTACAGAGATGGGCGCTGTTTTTATCAAAGTTCAAATACGTAATTGAGCACATCAGCGGCAACGACAACATCTGCGCTGACATTTTGACAAGATGGGTGCGCGGCTATCGGAATGAGAAGAACCTCCTGTGCAGCCTTCTGCTTGAGGAAGCCGACCAGCTAATACCCTCAGCGGATTCCATCACGTGGCCTGACATGTATTCGATAAGATTGTCCCAACAGCGACACACGCATGCGGACGGACTGAAATTCGATGAAAGCGAAAAGGTCTGGAAGCGAGGTATGCAAATCTGGATTCCGCAACAAGACCTGGAACTGCAACTCAGTATCATGGTTTGCTCTCATTGCGGATCTATAGGTCACCGCGGCATGGACGCGACTGGAAGTGTCATTCGCGAGAATTTCTGGTGGAGCAGCCTCGATCAGGATGTCAAAGCTCTGGTACGCGGGTGCTACCACTGTATTGTCACGCGAACTGGAGAAGTTGTGCCACGCCCGCTCGGCCATGCCATTCACGGCGATCGCCCTAACGAAGTTGTCCATATGGATTTCTTGTACATGGGCCAGGGGTTGAGCAACAAGAAGTACTTGCTGATCTTGCGTGATGACTTGTCCTCTTATATTTGGCTCTGGCCTACGGAGGACACTACTGCAGCAAGTGCAGCGGAGGCCTTGTGTGTTTGGATTGGGGTTTTTGGATGCATGGAGTGGATGGTCAGCGACCAGGGGTCCCACTTCAAGAATTCACTCATCAAATCGCTCACCGACGAGCTGCGCACAAAGCACCACTTTACGACGGCCTATTCCCCTTGGGCTAATGGTTCTATTGAGCGCATGTGCCGTGAGGTACTCCGCTCTTGTAGGGCGCTGCTTAGCGAGTGGAGGCTTGGAGCCAAAGACTGGCCTGCTGTTACTGAGGCAGTCCAGAGCGTCATTAATCACGCCCCTTTGCGGCGCCTCGGGTTGCGCAACTCGGACGAGCCAGGAATATATCGCACCCTTCTTGAGGTGTTCACGGGTCACAAGCCTTTGAGGCCTCTGATTAGGGCGCTACCTATGCATAAGTATCGCTCTGCGCGCACCTCTGACGAAGCCCAGGCGCGTACGCTTGTCCGAATTGGACATGTCCAAGAGGCCCTGGAAGGTATGCACAAGAAAGTGAAAGGATTGACCTCTGCCTCGCGGAAGCGGCAAGTAGATCGACACAACAAGCGCACTAATGTGCACTGTGCACGATTTGCGCAAGGGGACTTCGTTGTGGTGCGCCGGGCGCAGCCTGGCAGCCACAAGCTACAGTTTGTCTGGAGAGGCCCGCGTCGCATTTCGAGCATTCGATCGGATTGGGTGTATGAGGTAGAGAACCTCATCACGGGAAAAAAGGAAGTTGTGCACGCCAGACGTCTACACGCGTATAGGGAGAGAATGAATGGGAAAGAGGTCACCCCTGCGTTGATAAAAGCTGCTGAACACTCTGAGCAGAGCTATCAGATCGTGGAGTCATTTCGCGGTATTCGCGATGCCAGCGGGGATCTCGAAGTGCATGTCGAGTGGGAAGGCCTACCGGACAAAGAGGACTGGACATGGGAACCACTTGCGCAAATCTTCGAAGATCTCCCTGCTCGCTTAGAAGACTTCCTCCATACTTCGGGGTCCCGAAATCTCAAGAAGCGCGGACTCGCACAGTGCGATTTCAACCAACACGCTTAATTCCTACGACTCATCATCAAGCTTGAGGACACTGTAACGCCCTGCGCTCGCGACGATAGATAGAGAGCGAGATGTCTACGGCACGATGCCTTGGGGCGTAGCAGGGCTGGACTCGTAGCGCGAGCCTGCCGCAGAGGTGAGTGGACAGCCACCTCTGAGACTGGGATTCCGGGTGCGTAGCCTTTGTAAGAGCTAGCGTCTAAGCGCACCCGTACCCCGCTGGGTACTGTAAGTACTTCATGGGCCTACCGCCGAGCGAAAAGCCCCACTGCAGCACAGCAGTGATCCTGGTCTATCTGACCAGGAGGTGTGTAGGGCGCAGCGCAACTGTCGTCGCCTGACAGGGACGACACCGGGCGGAGAGTGCGGATTGCCGCACCCGTTCGGGTTTTGTAAATAAAGGCAGCATGCTGCGTTGGGATCCGGGGAACCCGGGGAGACGCACGCGTTGACTTTGCCCATTCTCTTGCTTTCCCATAGATACATCGCTCCTTTACTCTGGGCGCTGCGAGCGCCCTGTCCGACGTAGAAGCGCTTACTACCGAGTCCTGTGATCTGTCACACAGGCCAGGGCTTGGAGACCTGTTTTGTTTAAAAGTGGAGAAAGGAAAACGATGTGGGAGAAAGTTGTGGGTCTGTCTGCGGAGCTATCATGGAAGGAGTGGAATTCCGTACGTTGAGACTCGCAATAGACTCGGGTTTGCGGATTCTGGATGCAGCGATAAGAGGGAGTGCGCATGATTTTGTGGGCGGGATGGAAACCGTTCCGAAAGAAACTTTGCAAACTTGCAGTTGAGAGTGGGAGACTTCTGGAGCAGTCTGCCTTGACACTGGGGCCTGTGACCCTTTCTGGGAGAGACAAGAAGATGCCTTATACTGTTGACCGTATCGTGGGAAAGAGATGCTCTGTCGGTTATGCAGAAGCAATGCGTGAGTCTCCGTGATGGGTGTCTCACTGTGAGAGGACCACTGCTTACGGGAGGCACGAGGGTTGTGGAAAGTGGCACAGCGATGTCTAACCAGACTGAAGAAATCGAGGACTTGATTGGTAGGGCGGAGAATCTGATTGACATGAACATTTCGGGAGGGCCACTTTTTTGCTCAACGTAGCGGCAGTGGAGAGGAATGAAATTTACGCTCGGTTCAGACGTGTGAGAATTCTGTCGGATTTGGGATCAACAATGATGTATGTGGCGAGGACATTGAACTTGATACAAGCAGCGCAAATGATTAAAAGCCTTTGATGCCAAATTGTTTGTTCCCGGAAATGGAATCAGTTGGACACGGTTGCCAATTTTTCGGACTTGTGCGTTGGAAGTGGCGGGGATGTGAAGTGGAGGGAAGCAAAAGGCAATGGTGTTAGTAAGGAAGCCTTTTTCTCTGAAGGAGAGCTGACCGAGTGTGACTCCATGACGTATGATCTTGTTAGAAAGGCTTTATTGGAACGCACGGTAAGCGAATACGCGACGTTGTTTTCAAGAGAAGGACTTCAGATTGTGCTGGCTATTGCCGGACAGTGGGCTTCTCGGTTTACTAGTGCGAGAAAGAGAAAATCAGAAATGTGCTTGTTTAAACCCTCTATTATGGGGGAAGTCAGGATGAGAATTCAAGCACACAGGCCATGATTAACCTCAGAATATTTTTGCGCTAGGGGTACGAGGGGTGGGTTGTGACGCTAGAGACAAGCGAAACTTTTGTACGAAACTGCGATCGAAGAACACAAAGTCTGTACGATGATGGTGAACCTCAGTGTTTTGCTCAAAGAGGGTACCGAGGAGTAGAGCGTGACGCGGTGCGATCTATGGAGCTGTATGAGCGCGCTATTGAGAAGGGTGACGACGTCGATGCGATGTCGAACTGTTACGTGTCCCCGGCCCGGTGTAACTAATTAGAAAATTTAGTGAAATAATTGTACAAATTTGCTGGAAGAATTACCTTCTATATAAATAAAAGCCGTCGCTTCGCTGTTCCCCGCTCACGAATTTTCGCAGTTTATTCCAACGTTTACCGCGCTTTCTCCTCTCCACTCTGCAGCGACGTAACAACATTCGCTGCTCCAGCTCCGTACCTCGCCCACCGAGGTAAATTTAGTTTGTGGTGTTGTATCGAGTCGAGGGGGGCGTACCACTCTTCAGTCATTTTTATGGCTGAAAGAAGGGACCGACCTGCTCTTTGCTTTATGGCGTAGTCAGGGCCGATCCTCCGACCGTGCGGGGGTTTCATCATGGGACCCGAGGGTTGAGTATGTGCTACCACAATGACTAGGTGCTCATTTGTCACTACCACGTCGTCCGGGCGCATTTCTCGATGCGCATGGAACGCTACTCATGTGTGTGGAAGGTGTGAAACGCACTGTCCGTTCCCCAAGTGCGTGGTCGGGGACTGTCACGCAGTGCGAAGCTGCACGCGCTGCCGACGATGCCGTGTGCATTGTGAGCAGGGCTGCAGGCGCAACAGTTACCATGTTGTTGAAGACCCGCATCCTGTAGTTCGTGCCATTACGCGGGCTATAGAAGGCCAGTCGACTCACTTCGTGAGTCGCGCCGACAGGCATGGACGCGGGGAGCAGGAGCGCGACCTCGCGTCGTCGGCACTCAGCGGCACGCTCACAGACAGCGAGTCGCAAGGTTGGGGGACAGTCGGTGTGTGCGATGCTAGTCGTGGACCGCGCCGCCGAGGTGGTGATGTGTCCCCCCCTGACCCAGATTACCCTTGGTCGCGGCGTAGATCACACAGTAGCGACGACGTCATCGGGACCATTGGTGATGAGGACCCCAAGCCAGAGTACAGTGCCAAAGATTCCATCCGAGTGTTCAACGCTTCCCGGCGGCATATTGCTCTACAGTGGGCTCAGTCCACCAAGTTGTGCCAGGAAGAAGGGCTCTGTCCGATTCCCTGGGATGTATGCGACTTTGGATACGTGCAAAATTTGCATGTCCGGAGACTATACCACGATTGGAGCTATACAACGGTTGGCCATCGGTTTCAGCTTAAATATAAAGGTCTTACGGTTTGGATAGATGCGGTTAGCGACTTAGCTGTATCACTATGGTCGTCTAACATCAAACACGGGTGGCTGAGCTATATGGCTGAGTCCTGAGCTATGTATGATGAGTTCGGCAACCTAGTTGCTGCTGGTGCGGTCCAGCTCGTCGAAGAAGGTGATGCCCCCTCGAGGGATGTCCCGTCGGTCGAGTTCAATGTGCCATTTCCGGCAGTCGGTTGGGCCTTTTATGTTAGGTATACTACTTGGCGCAGCACGACTTGTTAGGACGGGGAACAACGGCCTTAGGAGGAACAGAGGTGTTGGACCTTCAGGTAGTGTGGTAACTCCTTTACTTTGAGTAGGGCATAGAAGTACATATATACTATCCTACTGATCCCGTCGTCATAAACCTGCGAACTGACGACACAGTACGTCCAAGTCAGTTGCAATGGCAGGGACTGGCCTGGATACTTCATAATGGTCGCTAGACATATTGTTACCCAATCGGGCGATTTTCTACAGTGCGAAACTATCCGTGATTCAAGTGTTCTGTCCTGAAGCATTCTCTTGCTCCATCCAGAGTCCTAGTGCATTTCACCTGCGTAATCCTAAGCATGCTGGGCACATCTCAACTGGTATCACTCTCGACCTGCTGGTGTGCCGGACGCCTGGCGGTCCATGACTAAGACATTCATGGACACAAAGCCGCCTGCCTGGCTGGAGTGCGAATCTTTTTGCCCTTCGTGGTGGCCGCAGGAGTGTTACCACAGTAGGAGACTGACGGTGAACGCGTTTGTTGATGGGACCATCGCACCGGATTGGGACGATTTGGGCGGCGGTAGCGACCTAGCGGTATTCATCGACGAGTTGGGCGAAGGGGTGCACCTGTACGCTTACGTCACTGACCTGTACGACGCCGCCAATGCCGCGAAATGGGTGGATTACGATAGCGATATGCGGTGCGGTCGATGCCGGCAGTCGGGCGTATACGTGGTAGGGTCCGGTGGTAGGAGCGCCTTTGTTGATTCGAGACTGGAGCGTTCACTCAGTCTGATCATGGATGGCGACTGGACGAGTGTGGCCGGCTACCCGAACGTCAGATTTCCTAAAATGGCAGCTTGTTCCAGGGTGGGCAGCGCTCTTTCATGTCTTTATGCCGACAGCTCATACGGCATGTTGGGTAGGTGCAGTAGGACGCCGGCCGTACACGCTATACGTACTATGGCGTTAAGCCCCTACCATATTCCTATGCACCCCGTTGAAAACTGTTTCTTCTCCTTGTTTCGGGAGTGCTGTGACGGGAACGGGTCATCACTTGGGCCCTTGTACGCGGGGCAGATTGTCGCCACCGGCATACTTGACCCAGATGAGCGGAAGCTATGTTCCATACTGGGTCGGAGATGGCTTGCGGCTCGTGACGGGCATATACACATAGTGGCTACTAAGGAGGAGGCGACGTACCGGGCGGATCTTGCAGGTAAGTTTGGCGATGAAGCAGTTGACAAGTAAATATGTTATCGCTTGGTATGACGGCTGGTCGGGTGATAGCACCTATACGTGATTTCAGCATGAGTTTTAGAGAGCCTGGAGGTTACGAAGAACCCAGGCAGGCCGTGGGCAGCATCACTCTAAGGTCTAGAGTGTGCGTCAGAATCGCAGAGGGGGAGTCCGGGCAGATATCGATTTTCACCGAAAGCACCAGCCGAGTCACGGTTAGGGAGAGCGTGCATATCACTGCACGGCAGATTGCCCGCAGGACATCTACCACCCCTCGCGACGTTCGGGCCTCAGCAGCTATGCGGAGTGCACGGGACTGGCTCAACCATAATGTCGAAGAGGGGGGCGTGCACATGATACTTGTCCGCGAGTCCCCGCGACGCCGTACAGGCAGTCTTACCGGGTGCCCGAGACACGGCTGTTCCGGGTTAGTCCGACTTCCCGGGGTGTTGATTAGCTGGAAGGGTTGGAGGGCCATCGGGTGCTACCGCTGCTGCGCGTTGTGCTCGGAGGACAAATCGTACCTTTTGCTCAACAAAGGGTGGTCGGCAGTGTCCAACGCCCTAATCCCTGTTTTTGAGGAGGCAATCAAGTCACTTCGGGCCGGCGACCAGGATTCCGCGGACCGGATTTTGACCGAGAATGGAATGCGGACGGCTCGGGCTGCTGGCCTACGGCTAGATACGCTGTGGGCGAACTCACGTGTCATCGTGCAGCATGGGGTCAACGTCACCGAGACTGACCTGTTCACTGCTGGCCCGGGACGTTTCTCGGTCGGGTCGGCCGACCTACGCCACCAGGCTCCTCGCCCCCCAACGACGGATTGTGGCCCAGTACCCGCACGGGAGCTAAGTACGGGTGACAGGGGTGACAGGCTTGGTACTTGGGGTGTAGGAGCACCACCCGTCAGCTTGAGTCATACGGTCGGCAGCGGAGAGGTCCCCGCGCACCTGGCCGTTGAACAGCCGACCGGGGACACGAGTGGGGCCTCGGACAGGTTCCTTAGAGCATCCCCACCGGTACGCAATCAAATCATCAAATAACAACACTTGGCACACTTTTTCTGTAATTTGATTGGCTCCCTAGAATTTGGTTGTTTCGTTATTTGGCTGTTTGATGCTTCGGAAAGAACTGCCCCACCGGTGAGAACCAAATGAAGTACATTCCCCTCGTACTCACCATCGCATCCTTGTACTCACACTCGTACTCACCCTCGTATCGCACCCTCAGTCGTAGTCGCACGCTCACTCGAAACCCATCCCGCGACCTTCTCCCTCGCCACTCTGTCTGCACTCCTTCCCTCTCACCTCCACCGTGGACAAAGACAGACTGCCGGCGCTGTCCTCCCTGCTCACGGACAGCACGCGCTCCCCACGCGACCGCGAGCAGCGCGATCCCGGAGAGAACATACGCGCCGGCGGCAGCGGTGCTGCGGCGGATGATTGGCTCGACAGCCGCGAGCGACGTTCTCCTGCGGCTGCTGCTGCTGCTGAGCAACGTATCGCACTGCTCTAGCACTGTCTGCGCTTGTGAACCTGTCGGAGGACAAGGAGCCGGCGGCTCTGACGCACGCGGACGCGGTGCGGCTCGCAGCGCAAGTGGTCCTGGACGCGGACGTCGTCGCGCTGCACGCGGCGCTGCTGTCCAACCTGACGCGCTTCGCGCCGGGCGTGGACGAAGCGGAGGGCGCGGACGGGTTTCGGGAGAGGGGCACGCTACTCGTGCTCGTGGAGAGGGTACCGAGTATTCCGAATGTGCTGCGGCTATCGAATGCGTGCGCGAGCCAGGAGGGGAGGGACGTCCTGTTGGTCGAGGGAAGGCAGGCGGAGAAACAGCTGTTGACGAGGTTGCTAAGATTGCTGGAGGCGGGGGAGGCAGAGAAGAGGCTGGCGGGGGCGAGCTGGGTGCGGAACTGCGCGATGGCGGACGAGTGCCATGATGTGTTGGTGGGGGTACGGCGGCGGTCGCAATGTGCTTGGGGAGGTCAAAGGAGGTGGGACGGGAGGAGATGGCGGAGATTCGCGCCTGGTTGGTCGAGGAAGTGTTGTTGTTGTGTAAGAGCCGAGCGGGGAAGGACGCGCTCAGGGATGGCGGGGCCGTCGACGTTCTGGAGGGATGGAAGGGGGAAGAGCATGCACGCCGTAGTGAGCATCCTGGATCGGCGGGAGACACTGGTAATCTCGAGGCAAATACCGCATCGATGCACTTTTTGGTCGGAAGCCGTTTCGGTCGACCAATAGAACGTGCACAACTGGATTGTCAAGGGTAATCAAACAGAGACCATCCGAACCAAATTCTTGATATTTGGTTCCGATTTTTAGATCGACACCAAAAATTTGATGATTTGGTTGCACCGGTGGGGATTTCAATCGACATCAAATCATCAAATTTTGGTTGTTTGGGTATTTGATTCTACCGGTGGGGATGCTCGTAACTATTTTGGCAAACATAAACTATTTTGGCAACGCACTTTTCCGGAATGGCGATGATGGGCGGCTATCGATCGATATGGAAAAGCATATTACGTTGTAATGGCACGGCACAGTCTGGATTTTTGGCGGACAAGCGAAAGTAATGGGCTTTCGAATGGCGGTAAAAACAGAAAAGGCGCGCAGGTTGTAATCAGTCACAGAGCTACCAAGGTTAGCAAATGGCGGGGGCAGATCTGGGTGACTCGGTTTCGGAAAAGTGCGGCAAAAAGAGGAAGCACTGCGTTCCCAAAATAGTTGAATTACTATTCCGCAACGATGATCCCCTCCCAGCTCAGTTGTGCCTCCCGCCGAGTAGTCGATCAAGTGCGAGCGTCGCTTGCTTCCGCCATATTCCGACGACACTGATGTTGTGCCTGAAGAAATGAGCTTCCTTCCCTCGCCCGCAATGACCACGTGTTGCAAGCCTCAACGTGGAGTGAGAGTCGCTGCGGGTGGGGAGCATGACCCCGTTACCGTGCCCCGTTACCGTGCGTTTCGCCGCCGAGTAAAGTGACGGCCTGCCTGGAAGGCATCGCCCCCATCAAGCCTCTCGGCCGCCAGACAAGAAGACGGCGCGCCGGGTGCGCGGCCGCCCGGCGGGGGCGCGCGATCAAAACGGGCGCGCGGCCACCTGTTACGCGACTGCTGCAGATTCAAGCCGCATTTTAGCTTACCCGGGCCGCCGTCCGCCGTCTGCCGTCCGCCGCGCGTAACTGCGCCCTCTCTCCACGTGCTTATTTCGCCGCGCCCCACGCGGGGCGCGGCCGGTCGCAGTCGCTGAGGTGCGGGCGGATGGCATGTGCCGCCGGGGTAGCGCAAATCGCGCCGTCGTGCGTCTTCTAAGCCGCACGTAGCATGGCTGCAGCTCCGCCCGCAAACGCTTCCCGTTCAAACCACGCGCGACTCGCAGCGCAAGCACCATGCCGCCCTGCTTCCCGCTCGTGCGCAGCAATGCGCGCATCCCTTTCAAAGCGCGCGCGTCCGCATAAGCGCCGCCGCCGCCGTTGCGCGCGCCCTCACCCCGACGCGCTGTGCCTCCCTCCCCCTTCCCCCGCTCTCCCTTGCGCGTGCGCGCGCCCGTCGCCGCCGCACGTATGGACAGCCCTCGTGCCCCCTCCGCGTTCTAGTCGCGTGGCGGACGCTTCCCCGCCGCGACCCGGCTTGCAGCAGCAGCGGGATGGGGAGCTGGGGCGCACTGTTCTCGCCGCTGGCAGAGTGTGGCGGCGGCGGGGCGCAGGCCAGACAAACTCATAGAACATCTTTCGTCGTCTCTACTCTCGCTCCTACTTATCCGTCTCGCTTATCCGTCTCGCTGCTGGCTGTGATCAGACAGCTTATCGCGGTCGGTCTGTCACTGGAGGCCGCTTGTGTTACCTGTGCCGGCCAGGACACTTTCCCTTCTGCCCAGTGCTTTTCTCTCGCAGTAACCGATGCCCCTTGCAAGGACGGTGTTCGTAATTGGACTGAATGACGACGCTGACGCTCCGTAAAGGGAGAGGCACAAATGTTGAAATTTATGGTAAAATGGAGAGAAAAAGTTGGCCTCGTTTGCCACTTGTCTTCTCACACGTGTGGACCTGTGCACGTGGAAACCTGTGCACGTGTGCCCATCGCCTCTTCAAAGTGAGATTGGTCCCCGCTTTGACCCGGTCTGCAACGCTTCTCAACACACCGTTCATTCACGAATACCTTTATATCTTTTGAGCACAAGAGCGCACGATGAACGGAAGCAGGTCGCTAGTTCATACATACACATACATACACACATACATGGATTGCAACGTCCGTGAGGCGAGCCTCCGTAGAACAGCCGCTTTTAGACGCGACTCACACGTGTTCGGTAGTCCATCGCTCCCACGAGAATCAAGCTTCACAAGTATCGACGCAGGATTATGTTCGGCTCTTATCGATGGCCTGAACATGTTACCCGTGCCTGGCCTGGTCGACCCCACGGCCGCGCAAGTCGCGCGAATATCGATGCCAATCGACTCCACGGCCGCGCGAGTATCGCGAGTATCGATGCCCGCGCTTGCTTGTAGAATACGACCGTGAAGGCGGTCCGCTTCTTGCTTGCGCTTCTCTAGGACTTCTCTATCTCCCACTGCAGAGGCGGACGCACCGAGTCTCGCTTTTGGGTCGTCCAACTCTTTCTGCAGTTCAGCGAGGGACTTCCGTATGAAGCTTGACATATCCGCGATTTCACGTTGGAGCAAGCCCGTGTGCTGCGACGACGTTCCATGGATCGGCATGTCTCTCAGCTCCGTGATGTCTGCCTGCAAGGTAGTGTAGGCAGTGAGGACTTCGGTAGAGAGCGTCTTGTTTTCCTTGTAGGCTTTGTGTCGTTCGATGAGACTTGCGATGAGGCGGACGACTTGCTCAGCCGGGCCGGTGAGACCCAAGATACTGTATGGATCAGCCATGGTGTTTGCGAATAGGGGGTGTTGTTCGGATTCGAGTAGGCGGTGGTGGCAAAGCGGCGCTGGCTCTTCTCTATATCTCCCTCTCTCCGAAACTCTTTCTCTCTTGTTGTTGTTAGTCGTTGTTCGCCGTTGTTTGTCGTTTGTGCTCTTCTCGCAGAGGGGGCGGGGGAGGTTTGCTTCCACTCTTGGCGTTGCGAATAAATGCAGTACATTCAGTGGGCTACAGCTATTTTAGGGAAAGTGCCCGCTTGACAGTGATTTTGAGCGATTTCCTACATTCGTCAAAGGAGAGGGCGGTTGTGGGGATTGTTGCCGCGGTGTTGGCACATCGTGAGTTCAGTAAGAGCGTCTCCACCAATGCTGATGATAAGGTCCAATTCAATAAGGTTGTCCATAAAATAGCGCGTTGTTTTTTTCCATTTGGCCACAAACTCACTGGACGTAAAGTACCACTCGAAGGGTATTGTAAACCCGGGTTTGAAAAATCCCACCACGAGTTTTGCGGACTGACCTCTGGAGGTCAGTGCTGCAGCCATCAAGGTACCGTTCGAAGGGTACTGTTGCAGGTACAACCTGCAAGCGTATTCACAGAAAGTAAACAGCGCAGTCTCGGCCAAATCGCCCCGGATTAGCCTTCCAGAGATTTCACAGAAAGATAAAACAATTAATCTTCACTTTAGTTTAGCGCGTCCAGCAAGCAGGGTGCGCGCGATCAGTCACCGGAAAAGCGACAACAACGACAAACAGCCGTACAGCGGACCTCAGCCGCTAACAACGATCCGAGTAAATGACAATTCAGTAGCAAACAGCTACAACAGCGACGGAAACAGCCGCAAACTCAGTCCTTTTCCCTCGATCCATGCCTATCTCCCCTTTCCTTCATCGCACAGCCTCTATATCCCCCGACTTCTACCAACAAGCTGATCCTCACGCGCCTTTCTTCCCGATCGATTCCAGCAACCCCCTGTCTCCACTGCACTGAACGGTTGCACGCCAGTCTATGACAAGTGATGCCAGCACTACCCCGATGCTCCTATCGACCACATCCAGTTGAACGGTTGCGTAGGTGAATGACGCATTCCGACATCCTTTCAGATGACTATTCACCTACCGGTCTGCTGGTGATAAGTGCTGCACGGGCTGAACATGAAACCATGCCGTGAGCTTCTGACGTGTCAACACAGTGTTGCCGGCCGATCTGGATTGCCCGCCTTGCCCGATCCTGATATCTGGCTGTCGTGGTGCCACAAATGCCACCGCCTGACTTGCAACTGCAACAGTACCTGCCCTTAACAATCGCAAGTCTGGTAAATTTACATCGTTGTGCCCGCAACAAATGCAAGTCTTGTACATCGTTGTGCCGCCCGACGGATCACGTGCACTTGCGCGAATACTCGCTGAAGCGAACACATTTAATGTGAACGAATGCACCTGGGCATGGGAACCAGTATTTGCATGACAAGTGTTGAAAATATTTAGCTCTTTGCTCATTTATTCTCCAACCGGTGGGGATGCTGTAAGGTCTGTGAACGCTGTTCGGTGAACGCTTTCGGTGACCAAGATCGGGCTTAGAAGCCGCCCTGCGCTTTCACATGTTTTCACGGGCGACGGACGGATGGCAGCATAACACCCGGACCCGTGTGACACGTGGCACGATTCGTGTTTGTTCGTGTTTGTGCGTCTGGCCGGCATTAGTGGGAGGGTAGCAAAAGTAAAAGCGGCACTAATGGGCGTGCTCTGCCTGTCAGACCGCACATGACAGCCTGTCCCCATAAAGATAGACAGTATATGACCCCGACGAAGATCGAAGGGACGACGCGGGAAAAGGGTATCTTTGAATAAAGGTCACCAGTTTCTCACAGGTTATGGGCATATCACGCTAACCCACATCCCGCAACCACTTACAACACACTTCCATCACGGCAACCCCGAGCACAAGAACCCAACGGCTACAGAGACGACACGACATCGCCGACGAAGCCGGACTCACAGCTGAACTTCTCCGACTAGCAGGCCTTACCGAACAAGACGATCAACGTACGTCAGACAAACAAACAACAACTCACTGTAACACATCTGCCATGTCCCTCCACGAGAAAATCAGCATGCCTACCCTCGACACGAACAAATACGCTTCATGGCTCATGGCACTCAAGGCCGCCGCACAAGACCGCAAGGCCTCCGACCACCTCACCGGAAATCCCCCGACTCCAGTCGACCCCGCCGAGACCGAATCACACAACACAAAAAAATACCTCATCCGCAAGATATTGGCATCAATCCCCGCCGATATTGCAAACCTCTTTATCAAACCATCACAGGAACCAACTCCCCTCGAGCTGGTCACCAACATCACTGAACATCTCGATACCTCCAACGAGGACGACCACCAATACTTGAAGACGGAAGCTGAGTCAACTCACTTCCTCCCCGGCGTGACGATTGATGAGTACGTAGCAAAGCACCAGCACATCCGCTCAAAGATGCTCGCAGCCGGCTACCCAAATATCCTGAAACTGAAGACTTCAGTCGAGTTCATGATAGCAGGACTCAAGTCCAACCACGAAACAACCCATATAGGCCTACAGCTCCTCTTCAACCCACCCAAAGACATAAAAGCCTTTCAACACCAACTCAAAAGGGTCATTGCCTACTCTGAGCCCCAGGGACACACTTACATACCCCAAGCACTCATAGCTCCGTCACCCTCCGCATCGCAGAGCAACAGCACAAGCGACGTAGCTTCCCTCCCGAAGCAACTACTCAAGCGCCAGCCCCGGCCCCCCACCCCTATCGCGCCCCTGCCACCCGGCTCTCGCCCCTGCCAACATCACATAGATTTAGGCATCTCCAGACCACGCCATACTGACGACCAATGCCGCAACCCCGAACAACCCAACTATAAGAAACGCAAGTACAGAAGAACCACCGCACGA